TTATAACCCTCAAGACATTGCTCAGAAGTTTGCGGACACATGGTCAGATAATTCCAACAGTCATAATTTTCACAATGATTTCAACACCTTAAAAAGCCAAACAATCTCTGAAAACTACAATAACCCATTTCCCTCACCCAGAGCCGTCCAAGCAGATGCTCCCATCACATTAAGTGAATTCGATGTAATAATTGCATCGATGACTGGTAAAACTCCAGGATTGGACAAAATTTCCTATTCCATCCTTAAAAATCTCCCTCGATCCCTTAAAATACGAATAATTTCTCTTTACAATAAAATCATCAACGAGGGAATCTATCCACAGGAGTGGAAGACAGCTTCCATCCTTCGCATCCCCAAGCCCAATAAACCTACCTCTCAAATAGAAAATTATAGACCCATTTCCTTACTTCCTTGCATGTCCAAAATTCTGGAGAAAATAATAGCTGTGTTATGTGGTTTGCCAAAGCAAACGCTTTTATAAAACCCCAACAATTTGGCTTCCAAAAAGGATTAGGAGTGACTGACGCTCAAATCGAAATCACATTTCTGTGCTAAGTTTAGACTTTGAAAAAGCATTTGACAGGATTGGACCTCACATGGTACTCAGGGAACTTGAAAAATGGAATATTGGTGAAAAACTATATAATATAATAAAATCGTTTTTGAACCACCGCAAATTTTTTGTTATTGCCAATATGCATAAATCCGGCCTACACAATATTTTTAATGGTATACCACAGGGATCATCCCTTTCTGTTGCATTATTTACCATTGCGTTCAATGAAGTAAGTACTATTATAAGTTCTAGTGGAGCTGTCAAACACTGCATCTATGCCGATGATGTTTGAATATTCTCTCAAACTCAAGATCTAAACCAAGTTAAACGCATATTTTTAAATATATTGAATAAAATAAGTAATTGGTCAAAAATTTCCGGCGCTAATATATCGCCTAGCAAAAGTAAAACTTTTCACATATGTCGGAAACAAAAGTGCTCCTTTCCTAATATATCCTTTTCTAACGTTGATCTCCCACATACTAATAAATTAAGAATCTTAGGACTTATATTCGACAACATATTAACTTTCAAAGAGCATTGTAAATATGTTAGAGTTATATTCGACAACACATTAACTTTCAAAGAGTATTGTAAATATGTTAGAGTAAGTCTTTTTTCTAGATTGAATACAATTAAATTCTTATCATCTAACACCATGATGCTTAAACCGAGGCTACTTCACTGCAGAAATTAATTAATTTTTTACAAACAAATGTTTAATGCGGTATTAGAGTTCTTAAATACTTGCATTATACGGACGGACCCAAGTCAGACACCAGCACAACGTTTGCTAGGACAAACCAGCTAGGTGTTACTATTATGGTCGGTTCCTTGCCATCCTACTGTTCGGTATTTACTGCCGAAGCAGCCGCAATATTTGAGGCAGTATAATTTGCTTCCCGAATAGGAAATAAATACATTATATGTACCGACAGTAGATCTGCAATTGAAGCTATATTTAATACCAATAATGAACATTTAATATCCAATATTCGTAGCATGCTATTGCAAAGCAATAACTGTATAAAAATAATGTAGGTGCCTAGCCATATCGGAATTTATGGCAACGAAATTGCCGATAAAAACGCTAAAGAAGCTTCCAAACAACCACTTCACTTCTTTGACTATTTCACCGATAAAGATATACGCAGACTTGTTGAAACACACGTAAATGAAATCCAAGTAAGAGAATGGAGTAATCACGATCACCACTATAAAAAATCTAATCCTGAGGGAACAAAGCCTTTATACCCAGGAAAAGCGACTTGTAAAAATATAAATGATCTCACAGTTATACACCTCTTCGATACCTGCCTTGCTCTTCAACGAATCAGAGCTAATGTTTTTTCTAACAAAAAACCTTCTTTATATCTAGAACGGACTGATGACAGTAACATAGAAATCATATCTAAATATATTTCGCTTTGCAAATTAAATATTTAGTTTAGTTACTTACATGCACCCATTTACTTTTCTTTGAAATTTATTGTATCTAAATTTACGTTATTCAAATCGATCTCAAATGTGAATATAATAGACCAATATTTTATAACATAAGCTGAAGGCCCTGGCAGCCAGTGCTTTATATCTATAAGTGGAACGATTATTTATAATTATTTCTCTTTTAAATAAATAAATAAAAATAAAATAAATTACAAGAAAATGTTATTGTAGGATATCCATAAGAGATAGACATATACCATCGCGGAGTAGACCTTTTCAATGTGTACAATACTTAGTATCAAAATAAATAAATCTTGTAGAGTTTAGCCTGCGTTTGCAATGTAAGCGGAAAAATGTAATTATTTACGACATCACATTAGAAACGTCAAAAATAACAGTATTTCTCCACTATTTAAAGGATGTTATTATACATAAAATCTTCCTTTTCAATCACTAAAGCTTTAACAATACTTAGTGACATAGGGACAAAGGAACCGACTTTGTTTTATACTATGTAAGTGATATTACTCACCTCTCTAAATAATGCTCGATTTCGTTCACGAAAATGTGATGAGCGCATTGGATACGTTCTGGGTATACCGATACTCTGACCGTCGTCGAAGTAACTGCTGCTATGCGCAATCGTTGTAAAGGATCCACTGCTGGCATTTGGCACTATTGACAAAGATCTTTGTTTATCATTATTTTTGATGTTTCGATTTTTATTTGCTATCATAGTGCTACGCATAGATGATGTTCCTGCTTCTCCTGTTGCCAAATAAGATCCAACTTCTTTAACTCCATCCTTGCTGTTGCCTATTCTAACGTTTCCTTTATAATTAGTTTTTGCGTTTTTACGCTTATTATTGTCATTATTGCTACTGCTGCTCAAATATGTATTCGCGTTTTTTTTGTTACCGTAATTGTTATCAATATAGCGCGCTTGGCCAGTTCCAATAGACATGCGATCATCATTCAAATGCTGATATATGTCTCGTTCAGGGCTACGATTCTCATCCATTAACGGCGATTCCGATTTTGAAGTATGTTTATAAGAAGATTGAACACTAAATAGAAATAAGGTTAAAAATTAAAATTTCAGTACATACAAATTTATTATTTAATAAATTTTAATGTCGTTTCCAGCTACACCTAACCAAAAGGCAATATAATTATTTTTGAATTACATTCTTACTGCAAACATTAGGTTCACGCTAATACCTCATTTCCAGTTGAAATTTTAATAATAATTTTCGTTTTAACTTTTGCTAACTTTACTAAAAAAAAATTTTACAAAATTTCCAACTGTACAAAAACTAATTATCTATTTTGCTATTAGACCTGTCAAAGCGTTGGAAGATAAAGAATCGAAAAAAAATGCTCAAAGGTACTGAAAATTCTTAAGGGGTTTTGAGATGCGAAAAAATATACTTGAAAGTGCGCGAATAAATTGTAAAACCTAATTGCCTGTCACAAAAAGTATGAATATTCCCAAAAAATGAGAACCACTCCGATCAATTTCATCTTCTTAATACAAGAGAATTCTTTATTCAATTTTATTTATTCGCTTAGCCTGAATCTTAATCTAACGGCTTAAACCAGAGATAGTAATAATAATACCCAACGATTACCCTCCTCCTGCCCAACCGACGCGAGGGGCACAATCCGCGAACGAGAGGAATTAGCCGGGTCATAAAAGGCAAGAGGGTTTTAAGCGTTGCGATCTTAAGCTGCTTAGCTACAGAAACAAAATTTTCAAAAGCCAAAATTAAGAATTAGATTAAAGTTTGTAATTTTTAAATGTTATTTTTTTAATAGTAAAGAGTGAGTCTGTTAGATTGAAATCGTGACATATACGGCAGAATGGTTCATTTAACTCAACATTTGTTCTAGATAATTTTAAAAGTAGGGGTCTACACAGCCTGGTACAGCGGGCGGGAACTTTAAAATTAATATCATATAAGAGAGATGGGCTCCGGACTGACCCTTTCATGAGTTTTACATGAAATATTATACCAAGCATCTCCCTACGACTAGCGAGTGTCGGGAGATTTATAAGTTTTAAACGGTTAGTGTAAGGGGGAAGATTTAAACTGGAATCCCAATGCAAATGATTTAAGGCAAAACGTAAAAATTGTTTTTGAACGGACTCTAATTTATCCGAATGGACTTGGCAACTAGCGTTCGAAACCACGGAAGCATACTTTAATATAGGTCTCACCAGAGATGTAAAAAGAATTTTTGTAGTAAGCGGATCTCTAAATTCTTTAGACCAACGTTTAACAAAACTAAGAGCGCCTTTGAAAACCGTGGAAGATGCGTGAAGATTAAAATTAAGTTTGGGGTCAATAGTTACAACAAAACTGCATACTTGCTCCAATCGAAAGTTTTGTATTGCGTATGAAGTAGAGTCTACGGCTGTACGTGAAAAGCACATCCGTTTGCATATTTTAAGGTTCAATGACATGTCATTTCTATCACACCAAGAAACTATGTTGTTTAAGTCTGTTTGCAACTAACATCTTTCGCTGTTGGAAGTATACGTTTTAAAAAGTTTTACATCGTCAGCATTTAATAAAACGTTTGAAAACTTAACAACAGATGATATGTCAATAATAAATAATAAAAACAGAATTGGACCAAGATGGCTACCTTGAGGARCGCCTGAAGGAACATTGATTATGTCAGAAAAAGCAACCCATTTTAGAAATATTGGTTGAAAACGTAGATCAAGTTTATTCAAAAGAATTGAATGGTTTACTTTGTCAAAAGCATTACTAAAATCTATGTATTTAACATCAGTATTTTCATTCTCCCTAAAGCCCGTTGATATACATATGTGATACAAATTCAATCAAATTAGTTATTGTTAGATTTCCCTTTACGAAAACCGTGCTGAGAACAAGAAATTAGTGGAGAGATCCGGAAGGTTATGTCGTGTGTTATAATTGCTTCAAAAAGTTTAGGTATTGCAGAAAACTTTGCTATTCCCCTATAGTTTTCAATAAACGACCTAAATCCACTCTTATGTAAAGGAATTATAAATGACTGCTTCCATATAGATGGAAATAAGCCTTGCCTAAGA